GATCCATACTCTCTCAGTTACACTTGATCCATACTCTCTCAGTTACACTTGATCCATACTCTCTTAGTTACACTTTCTCCATACTCTCTTTGTTACATTTGATCCATATCCACCCGGTTACCCTTGATCCATATCCACTCAGTTACACTTGATCCATACTCTCTTAGGTACACTTGATCCATACTATCTCAGTTACACTTGATCCATGCCCACTCAGTTACACTTGATCCATACCCACTCAGTTACACTTGATCCATGCCCATTCAGTTACACTTGATCCATACCTACTCAGTTACACTTGATCCATACCCACTCAGTTACACTTGATCCATACCCACTCAGTTACATTTGATCCATACTCATTCAGTAACACTTGATCCATACTCTCTCAGTTACACTTGATCCATACCCACTCAGTTACACTTAATCCATACTCTCTCAGTTACATTTGATCCATACTCACTCAGTTACACTTGATCCATACTCTCTCAGTTACACTTGATCCATACTCTCTCAGTTACACTTGATCAATGCTCTCTCAGTTACACTTGATCCATACTCTCTCAGTTACACTTGATCCATACTCTCTTAGTTACACTTTCTCCATACTCTCTTTGTTACATTTGATCCATATCCACCCGGTTACCCTTGATCCATATCCACTCAGTTACACTTGATCCATACTCTCTTAGGTACACTTGATCCATACTATCTCAGTTACACTTGATCCATACCCACTCAGTTACACTTGATCCATACCCACTCAGTTACATTTGATCCATACTCACTCAGTAACACTTGATCCATACTCTCTCAGTTACACTTGATCCATACCCACTCAGTTACACTTAATCCATACTCTCTCAGTTACATTTGATCCATACTCACTCAGTTACACTTGATCCATACTCTCTCAGTTACACTTCATCCATACTCTCTCAGTTACACTTAATCCATACTCTCTCAGTTACACTTGATCCATACCCACTCATTCTCACATGCCTGCATCATATACTCTCTCTCTATCACACACACTCTCCTCTCTCTCTCTCTCTCTCTCTCTCTCTCTCAGTGGAGTGTGAGGTCGCTTTAAATAATATAACTGTCATCTTAGACGGGCTACACACTCATAACATCACAGTCATGCAACACCGTACATGCAGTGACTGCATAGTATTGTATCAGACAAAGGTAATGTGATCATAGGTTCTCAGGTTCTTTAAACTTATTAAAGTTTCATGTTAATGTACATAACACAGCATTGTGTCAGATTGTAACTTTTCTGTTGGCTTGCATTTACACCATATATCTACAAATATTTATCAACTTCTGGTACTAAGTGTGTATGCAGAGCAAGCGACACGTGTAAGTATTGTAGTATTTACATTTCCCTGCACGACAATCGTGATGTACTTCTACAATATACGTGTACACACAGCATATTTGATTAGCCTTTCTGCAACACGTGTGCGGTAGTGACATGACCTAGTTGGCTCGATATCAAACAACGAACACATTTTTGTCAATTCGTAACATATGGACATTTTGTACTTGAACTTTGCAACAGGTGCTTTAGGAGAATATTCTGCCATTAAAACGGTGACCAGTACATTTGCAATGAAAAGGCCAGTTTAATACTTTATGACATAACGATTCATAACAAAAGCGTGAACTCACTCCGAGAACATATTTTATTGACACCTGTCATCACATGGTCCTTTATTTGTACAGAACATGTTTATATCGTTTCCAGTCACTGTGTCATGTTGCTCATGTGTGTGTGTGTGTGTGTGTGTGTGTGTGTGTGTGTGTGTTTGTGTGTGTGTGTGTGTTTGTGTGTGTGTGTGTGCTTGTACTAGTCCAGACTGATGCCGATTTTATAGTGCTAGCCCACTGGGATACCATGCCGCAGTTTAACATGAATACCCCACTCAGGCACAGTATACAGACTCCGAGCCCAGGTGGTTGTAGTTGGTTCACTGTATTGCGTTATGTTGCCTACAACCGAGCGAGTATGGGTTTACGCCACTTTATCAATATTCCAGCAACATCACGGCGGGGGACACCAGAAATAGGCTTCGAGCATGGTGGGGAATCTACCCCGGGCCTCTGACGAGCGAACGCTTTAACCACTAGGCTACCCGCCCGCCACTGTTACGTAACACGTGTAAGTGGCATATACTCATGTTAATAAGTGGCATATACTCATGTTAATACTGAATTACGCAGGTGTCTGCCTCGTCTGTGAGTCATAAAAGCCTCCTGTTTCATCTCACATGATGAAACTGACCGAATTTCTGACTTCATGGCTATTAACTGCTTCAATGACGCTGCTGATCTATTGTAGATTTCACACTTTAATTCCATCGTAATGTGAATAACATGGTAGTGTGTCACACAATTGCAGGTCATATATGTAAGTACCTTAACCTTAAAACTTAACAATAGTATAGCAACATTGCAAAAAAAACCAAAGTATTTGTAACACTGGGGAGAGGGGTGGTGTGGTAACCAAGTGGTTAAGCCTTTGTCGCGTCATTCCGAAACACAGGATCGATTCAACACATGGTTATACGTGAAGCCAATTTCGTGGGACCCGGTCATAATATAGTCTATAAATGACAGATAATGTTCATGATATATGTAACTGTATATTTATACTAAAGTTGCAGTAAACAGTGCACAGTTAACCAACATTCCAGTAGCGTTTACATCTAGCTTGAGCCACTAGAATTAAGATCACACAGCAATGTGTGCGGGATGTAAATTGAAGTCACAGAAATGTTAGATGAAAACAACTTGCACATATAAAATAATTATTCTGCTTCATCGTGATGTAATGGGTCGGGAAGCTATCTTAAGAGAGTAGTGGATGCAATACCTAAGATGAGGAGACCGCCTCCGTGGTCTAGTGGTAGAGCGTCCGCCCGGAGAGCGTAAGGTCCGGGGTTCGATCCCCGGCCGCGTCATACCAAAAGACGTTAAAAGATGGTACTTGTTGTTACCCTGTCTGGCGCTCGGCATTAAGGGGTTAAAGCAAGGACTGGTCGGCTCGGAGTCAGTATACTGTGTCTGAGTGGGGTATCCATGTTAAACTGCGGCATGGTATCTCAGTGGGCTAGCACTATAAATCAGCATCAGTCCGGTCTAGTACAAGCAGCCACACACACACACACACACACACGTGCATGCACGTCGCTATATAAGTGCAATAATCTTGGACGCGACGTAAAACCCAATTTTACCTCACCTCACCTAAGATGAGGATAAGTTAGTGCGAGTTTCCGTATATGTAATATATGTAGTTTAAGTTGAGAGTGAATTGACATGTATCGGACCAGATCCTCGTACAGTGACAGTCTGAGTTTCAACCTACCTTCTTCATATGTGGATACTGCATCACATTAACTTCTTCTCCATTCGTTTTTGCAAGGAAATAGTCCAGTACTTATACAGTTACATATGACATTTTTAAGGTTACACTTACAAGAAGTTAACATCATTATGTCACATATGCTAGTGCTAGTGTTGACATTATGAACATTGGCTGAGGCTATGTATGCACATATAATTTGTTTCATAGGAGAGAAGCATGTGGTTGCCAGTCATCCGAGGAATAGTAGCCTGCATTTGTCTATGAATCCTGTTAGTGTCCACATTCCAGGATTTGCTATGGTTGAATCAGATTATGAGTTTTGGTCTAGATCTTGGATGACTCTGGCAAAGTGCCATTGGACATTTTCTATCTGAACAGTTTCTTTACCACGTCGTATGCCGCTTTGCAGCTCACACGCATAGAAGCTAGTAGAGAGAACCAATCGGTGCCATATTTCTACACATACACTAGGGTGGAGATCATAAGTATTTAGTCCTACAGACTTTAGTGAGCTTTCTGTGCGTCTTGCATTTTGTCAACATATCCTGTACATGTTAGTTAAATGTTTAGAATGACTTCCCCATATGTTACACAATCTGACCTGGGACACTACCCAGTTGAAATTTGGAGGGATTATGTTGGGAATTCAATCTACTGAATATAACAGTTTGGCTTTTTAGTGGCATTGTAAGTTAATCTCCAATCTTAAGCATACTGTGTAACAGTGTTAAGAGCAACTTGAAGACCTGCAGGGGATTTCCCAGACACATAATATACACATTCATGTAATGTAAAGACAGACATAATGCACCATGCTCTTTTCGAAATCCGAATTGTAGAGGGTCTGGAAAGGATTGACAATGTACCTTACACCATTCTTCCAATCGTTGTAAAATTACATTTTCAAATAGTTTTCCCAGGCATGATGTTAAAGTAATTCCCCTATAGCTTTTTGGATTAGATTTATCTTTTTTACCCTTATAAATAGAGATAACCATCCCAAGTCTGTATTTGTTAGGGGGATATTCCGTTTTGAGAATTATGTTAAATAAAGTAATTTCGCGAGAATATTAATGCCTGCAAACAACGAATTTTCATTTCACACGTTCTGGACCTGGACTTTTATTCTTACACAAATTGTGTATTTGTAAGTCTGTAAGAAAAGTAGAGGTGAAAAGTAGAATGTACCATCTGCAAACAGGATGCCACTTTACAAAAAAAGGTTTTTCACGTTCTGTCTTTTAGGGAAGATAAGACATGTCTTTGTCGCATAGTCAGCAATCACGAAGGCTTAGAATCAGTTAGATCACATTTAGGGTGAAGCTCTGATTCAAACAAAGATCATGGAATGTTTTAGGGGCTCAACTCTGCACTGCGATTACATGGCCTAAAGCCACCTGGACACCCGTGCCCCTATCCTCCTTTGCAAAATCACCAGACTCCTCTTACTCTAAAGGTCACGATTCTGACGGAAGTCAGCCTCAGTTTCCTTTAATGCAGAGCATCTAGTGATGAGTTAGTTATGTGTTGGTGCTAGCGATGCTCCAGATGCTGCATGGTTCAAAGAACACATCATGCGAATATGTATTCAATTTAAATCAGACGAATTGTGTTTGTATTGTATTTATTTCTCTATTGTCAGACTAACAAATACTGCTGCATGAACAATACAACAACAATCCGAGGGTTAGCTAGTCTACAAGGCAATCCGGTTGACCCAGCGTACATACATACTGAGCAGGCTCCACTGACCACACTGGACAGTGAACAAAAGCGGAACTGGGTTTCTTCTAACCGGAAGTGACTCCTTCTGGGTGTTATCTGTAGTTCGTGAAAATAACACCTTGTTGTGACGTCATCATAGCCGCGATGACGTGTACACCACGTAGAGACGTAACTGACAAAGCCTTGAAAGAAAAGTCAATATATTATGAATGGAAATCTTTGTAGAAAATGACTGAACTTACAATGGAACCATCTTTCATCTTGCCGCCCATGGGAAGACATCCGACTTGGGTGAATCCGCCAACAATTTCAATGATTTTAATCATGGCGCGGTTGTTGCTGAAAGTGTCCACATACATTCCCATGAAGTTCAAATCTTGAGCAAAGTCAACACACATCTGGAGACAAAACTCGCCGATTCCCTTGCCTCTCTCTGACGTCTTTACAATGATGAAAGGGTCGGCAACGCTGTTGCAGCCACGGTAATACTTGCTGATGGCCAACATAAATGCAGCAACCATCTCTCCACTGTCCTTGATCATTATGGCGAAGTTGAAGCTGCCGTCGATGTCTTTGCGGAATTCCTTCTCCGAGGAGTATTCATCCACCCCAAAACCATTGCCGCTCTGGGCCGCAGCTTGGATGAGGCCGAAGGTTTCCGACAGCTGGGAGTCGCTCATGGTGTCGATGATGACGAAGCGGCCGTCGGGGAGGGTGGTGGTGTGAGGGACAACGCCAGGGAGGCGCTTGACTTTTTCGACTTTGTCATTTATCAGCATGATGGAGTCCTGAAAAAAGAGGATACTTAATGTACAATGAAATACTCATGCAAGAAGAAAACAGAAAGGGAACTGTTAAAGTTATTGGAAGACTTTGCGTGAGTCTGTGACCTGAACAATTGGACATTGCACCCAATTTTGGAGCAATGGGGAATGCAATCTCTGTAAGTCTTTTCTTAAATGGAGGCTAAAATTTGAGGGTTGTGAAGGAAATGCTAACTAGCTCACAGTTATATGTACCTCCGTTTTAGTCGACAAATTCAGGAATCGAAATGGCAGTATGTTCCAGTAATGTTGGTGAGTGAGTGAGTGAGTGAGTGAGTGAGTGAGTTTGGTTTAACGCCGCTTATAACATTATTCCAGTTATATCACGGGAGGAAAATGTAAAATATGGGAGGAAAGCCCGAAGTGATCTCAGACGTTTACCACTTCGGTGAAACCCACGAGCACGGGTATGGTGCTGACAAACATAGAAACATAATCGGAGCGAACCGGGATTCGAACCCACAAGCATAGGTTTCTGGCGTGCCCCAGGGACGCAGCCCTGCACAGGTATAGTGCTGACAAACATAGAAACATAATCGAACCCACAAGCATAGGTTTCTGGCGTGCCCCAGGGACGCAACTCTGCACAGCGAATTGCGGCGCCTTGGACGACTAGGCCACCCGTGCCCCCTGTTCCACTATAGACATATAAGATAATTAGATATTACGAAATAAGTCACATAAAACATTTGAGGTAGATTCATCCACATTTCAAATTTCGATATTCGCGAGTATTGCAACAAGGATAGATATACTTACTTTGCAGTCGGTTTATAATCCACGGTATGTACCGGAAAACACCTGTCAGGTAACTGGAGACGGTGCCGTTGGTAGCAAAACTTGTCAGAGCTGCTGGAAATCTGTCTTGCAGTGAAGAGAGAAGTGTGATGATAGCCTTGATCACTTGCTCTTTTATACACATGCCGGTAGAAGGGGACGGAATGTCAGGACAAATCTCTGAGCGAGATTGGATACCTGTCTTCGTCATGTGATATCAACAATATTTCCCGCAGCCGCCTGGTCTATACATATGACGAAATGTGGTAAACATGTCAATCACAGGGCGTCATGCAGGATTTGACACATTGTCAAATAAAACTGTTATTTGCCAAACTAAATATTGTTCAGACAAATTATCGAAAACATTGACTTGGACAAAATTATCTTGTTTGTGTTGAGCGGCTGGGGATTCCCCAGGAAACGATTAACGCGGCAATAAGCATGTGGTAGACACGATTGAGTAATTTAACCACGAGGGCAGGGAACTGGTGTGGAATGGGTTTGGTTTTACCTTACGTAATCAAAGTTTAATACGTTACTGTTACACATACGAGAATGTCAGACTTGTGGAGAACTCTTGTATACTTGTGGTGTATTTAATAGTAGATGTGAGTTGGCAAACTACGTCGAAGGCGAGAATTCTTTCTTGTCATGCATATGGTCGTCGGATGATTTTACATGTGTTTCCACACGTGGCCAGTCAGTGGTTGATCATGGTATAATCCCCTACAAATCATGATAATTTCAGTCAATTTTAAGTCACTGATACCAACGTAATGCTAGAAAAAGGACATATATATTGTTGACATAGTCGGTGGTCATATGGAAACCAGACCCGTGAAGATCCGGGCTAGAATAGGTCTTCAGCAACCCATACTTGCCGTATAAGGCGACGACTATGCTTGTCGTAAGAGGCGACTAACGGGATCGGGTGGTCGGGCTCCCTGACTTGGGTGATGCATGTCATCGTATCCCGATTGTGTGGATCGATGCTCGTGATGTCTGGTCCAGACTCGAATATTTACAGACAGCCGTCATATAGCTGGAATATTGCTAAGTGCGCCGTAAAACAACAAACAAACAAAACAAACATATGGAAACCAAACTAGATCATGCTATGCTACAGTGGACATGTAGTATCGACGAAGTTAAAAAAGCACGATATCGTGCTTCCGCCGACAACACTGTGCGATATACAAAATATATGACGTCAAACAGTGATTTTCTTGGCAAACTTCCAAGCGGAACAGATTGACATAGCTTCAGTTGGGTTAACAGATCTTATTCAACAGAAAACGAAAAATAAAAAACCAGCGAGTAAGTCTTATTTACTAAATGCTAATAAACCTAATAAACGACGGATAGTAGAAAACATTGGTGGACTGAGTTCCTGACAGAACTGTGGAACGAGCTGTCTGCAGTAGAGAGAGTACGGTGCAACCTGAAACATGGCTAAATATCTAAACCCGATGAACGTCGACATGAATGTCCAGCACGCTAAGGTCGTAACCGCAACTGAAAAAGTGGATAAAGGCACATAATCCGTTCCATATTTCTAAGAAATCTCTGACAATAAAGAGCCGATTGTACGATTCCGACTATATCATGAGCAAGTGTTTATGAATCACCATTTAATAGTAATGATACTAGGTGTTCGCGAAAAGGTGAGCGTGTCCTGCCCCCCCCCCCCCCCCCAACCCCCGCCGCCTCCCCCTTTCCCACTTTGGTGGCACCTGTCAGAAACACATGCAAAGGCAAGTCAACTATTCACCTAAAAACACGGGAGCAATTTGTCACGCGGAGATCAGTTTGTCACTAATGCGTCAAATTTGGGAATGTCTACCACCTGTCTACCATAAAACGTTTTATAAAAACTTTTCTGAGGCCTTATATGTTATTATAACCTTGATGAAACAACTCCTGAGCAAGAGTCGTATGATGCTCTTTGAAATCTTAGTAGTAAGATCACGCCGAAGACCCGGGTTCGATTCCCGACATGGGTACAATGTGTGAAGCCCATTTCTGGTGTCCCCCGTCGTGATATTGCTGGAATATTGCTAAAAGCGGCGTAAAATCATACTCACTCACTCATACAAAAGTTGTAGAATCTAGACACATGCTTATGATATAACTGGAATCGTACAATGAACTCTGCTTTTAACAGAGATTACTTTTGAGTATGGAGTTCTTAAAAGCCGATGCCATCACCTAGCCAGATGGAACATATTTTGCTTTTCTTTCCAATGCGACTTTGGATGTTTCCACTGCTCTGCCTGTTGTTTAATCTCTGACTGATACCTGTCACCCAAAGACTCATCGATGGTTACAAAATGAGCTGGGTCTGCTTCACAGCGGCGTACAATTCACTGTGTAGAGTCGTCCCCCTTGGGCACACCATAAACGTGTCATCGTGCGTTCGAATCCCGGTTCGACCCGATTATGTTTCTAGGTTGATCACCACGATACCCGTGTTCATGGGTTTCAGCAAAGCGATAAACGTCTAAGACCTGCATCACTTCGGGCTTGCCACCTACACCAAGCTGACACGCCGTGATATAACTGGAAAACTGTGTAATGAACCCAACTCACTAACTCACTCACAACGCAGTAATCTCTCACGAGAGATGAGGCACCTGGAGCGTTTCTGATCAGGAGTCCGAAGACTTGGAACTCTGCGTGCCGAAGCCTTTGTCATGTCCAGTCCAGTTCAGAATGTTCTCAACTCTCTCATGAGTGAGTGAGTGAGTGAGTGAGTGAGTATGGTTTTACGCCGCTTTTAGCAATATTCCAGCAATATCACGGCGGGGGACACCAGAAATGGGCTTCACACATTGTACCCATGACGGGAATCGAACCCGGGTCTTCGGCGTGACGAGCGAACAACTCTCTCATGAGTAATGGTATCATCATTCATAATCAATTTTATGTATTTTATCAAGTTTCCTCAGTGGTTGCAGTTGGAAGTCTTTCTGATCATGCATCATGGATCATCTTCAGGGCTCTCTCCCCCTCTCTTGATGTCCGCTGCCAACAGTGGTGAAAGGAGGGTGCATAACTCCCTAAACTTGACTACATGTTCGGATACCTGGCTGTTGGAATTAACCATTTTAGCTGCAGATACTTGATGACAGTGTGGTAGCCAATTTTGACCATTTTCATCAACAGAGGATGCCTTAACAATTTGATGCATGCAGACATACATGTATGCTGCTTGTGTGTGTATTTGGTTAAAATGCGTCCTGTGAGCAGGAGGGTACAGTAAACTACGGTTATAACGAACTCAAAGGAACCACTAAATTTAGTTCGTTATAACCGTAGATCGTAATAAGCATATTTACAACATATATACAGCAAATGGACGGGGCCAAAAACACAGTTCGTTATATCCGTCAGTTCGTTATAAGCGTGTTCGTTATAAACGTAGTTTACTGTATTGTAGAGTAATACATGCAAATATGTGTTCAACTCCTCCTTCGTATAGGCTCCTAACGTTTCAGTAACCATTGATGTCATACTTTGGATGTGGGGAGCCATAGTCCGGGATTCGAACCCATGAACAACCCTGCACAACCCTGCCAGCCGTGTCTCCCACTGCCTTTGAAAAATCTCCCATTACCGAAAAGGACAAGATTCTCACGGACGTCAGCCAAAGTTTCCTTTAATGCCAAGCATCTAATGATGTGTTAATGTTGGTACTAACGATGCTACAGACATCATGGGTATTGGTATTTATTTATAAAAAAAAAAGAACGAAACAAATCGTTTTGCTAATATTATGTTTATTCTTTTTATTGCGAGACTAACAAATACTGTTGCATGAACAATACGTTTCTCATTGCACATTTCTATTCAATCCGATGTTTACCAGTCTACAAGGCAATCCGGTTGACCCAGCGTAGCTATATACCGAGCAGGCTCCACCATTCGCACTGGACAGCGAACGAAAGCGGAACTGGGCTTCTTCTAACCGGAAGTGGCTCTCTCTGAGTGTTACCTGTGGTTCATGCAGATAACACCTTGTTGTGACGTCATCACAGCCGCGATGACGTGTACACTACGTAGAGACGTAATGGAGATAAAGCCATGGAAGAAAAGTCAATAGTTTATGGATTGAAATCTTTGTAGAAGATGACTGAACTTACAATGGAACCATCTTTCATCTTGCCGCCCATGGGAAGACACCCGACTTGGGTGAATCCGCCAACATTTTCGATGATTTTGATCATGCCACGGTTGTTGCTGAAAGTGTCCACATACATTCCCATGAAGTTCAAATCTTGAGCAAAGTCAACACACATCTGGAGACAAAACTCGCCGATTCCCTTGCCTCTCTCTGACTTCTTTACAATGATGAAAGGGTCGGCAACGCTGCAGCCACGGTAATACTTGCTGATGGCCAACATAAATGCAGCAACCATCTCTCCAGTGTCCTTGCTCATTACGGCGAAGTTGAAGCTGCCGTCGATGTCTTCACGGAATTCCTTCTCTGAGGTGTATTCATCCACCCCAAAACCATGGCCGCTCTGGGCCGCAGCTTGGATGAGGCCGAAGGTTTCCGACAGCTGGGAGTCGCTCATGGTGTCGATGATGACTAAGCGGCCGTCGGGGAGGGTGGTGGTGTGAGGGACAACGCCAGGGAGGCGCTTGACTTTTTCGACTTTGTCATTTATCAGCATGATGGAGTCCTGAAAAAAAGTTAAAAAGGATACTTAGTATATAATGCAAGACAAAAAAGGCACATTATTTTTTATTGAATATTCGATTTTTATAGATAAGTTAACGAGTGTACAACAAATCACGGACACAAAATAAGATTAACATTTAATAAATCATTTACGTATCTAAAGGATAAATGAACCGCTAAAACGATTTCTACCCGTGAACTAGTCTGTCTTACAGACCCTGATACAAATATATCAGATACAGCCCATGCAAGTCTATAATGTTGGCAAGTCTAGATTACTTCATTATGAAGAGAGTCTCTGGGGTTCTTTTTATTATATTTTTATTAAGATAATTTAACAACTGATATTTCTTTTGTACGATATGTTCATTTCAGAGATTAGATGTTAGTCTACCCCTGAACTTAAATAAAAATATATAACTACATCGAGCGCTGACAAATACATGGTATGAACTGCCGCCATGTCGAGAGCAGCGCAGCATATCAACGCGAGAACATATTAGACTACGAGGACAATATGTAGTTTCAGGCATGTAAGCTGAGGTATTATTATGAGAAAAGCAACGTGCCTGTCGCATAAACACGTGGCCGAACACATAAGGTGAACACGTGCTGTTTTAGATGTGTTTGGTTTACAGCGCTACTATTTGTAATCATAGTCAGTTAGTGACACGAGGCGGACATATTTTCCGTCAACATACACTGTACATTCCTGTATTAAAGCCATGCATAACGAAACATAATTAGTTTTACAATCTAGAGTATTTACCTGACCTATTTACTGAGAAGGGTGAAATCGTCTTGGTTCAAATATCACAGGGAGCCGACTGTCAAAGCATGTTGAAAATCGCAACTTGCATATTAGCAATTTCAATATTCCCATATGATGCAACAACGGTTGATATACTTACTTATAAGAGTTTCGCACACAGTTGATAATCCTCAGTATATACTGGAAAACAGCTGTCAGGTGAATGGTCGCTGTGTCGTTGATAGACTTGTTGTCAGAGCCGCTCAAAATCTCTCTTGCAATGAAGGAGAAATATGACGATACCCCGATCGCTTGCTCTTTTATACACAGGCCGGTAACAAGACGGGATGTCAGGGGTCAATCTCAAAACGAGACTGAATACGCGTCATAGTCACATGATATCAACAATGATTCCAGCAGCCGCCGGGGCTGACTAAAACTACTGGCGAAATGCATTAAACGTGACACTCGCGGGGCCTCATGTGGAATTTCACACAGTGTCAAATAAACCTGTTATGTCCAAAACTAAATATCTTCCAGACAACTTATTGAATTATATACTGCGAAAAGAGCATCATGTCTGCGATCTGTGGGTGGGGATTCCCCGGTAAACAATTAACGGTGAAATCAGCATGGGGTAAACAGGTTTGTGTGATATTGCCTCGAGGATCGTGAACTGCGCTTATATATTCTCACGCAACATTACGAGGGTGGGTTGAATTTGGCTTCACCTTATATAATGTTGACGTTTTGAATTTTCAGTGAATCACGTCAACAATAACAATGCGTTTACAATATACAATATACATAATACTACATACACAATATATGCAATTATGCGATAACTGCAACATTGCACACTTAAATAAATTGTACATATGAAAGAATAATTAAAACGTCAGCCCTCAATGATAAAAGTGTCATATATATCACGGTAATGACCCATGCATTGCACACATATGGTATGTGTGTGTCTGTATTTGCTGTCTGATCTCCGTCTCATATCAACGTGGAAAACAACGTGGTGGTCAGTGTTATCTCAGGATTGTGATATACGTATATGGATTGCTTCACGCAGTGATCGCCTACACACCTCTACCCAAGCAACACGTCGACTTCATGTCGAAATAATGATTTGTATTTATCACAATAAAAAAAAAGTTTCATTGGTTTATTTCAGCAGTGAGTGCAAGTTTCAATTTTTTTATATTATGAGTATAAATAATATTTGATTTATGTGATAAATATATGAATATTTCATAACATGAATAGATATCTTCTTTGAGTGTTTTACATAGACCCAGATAGAGGAGTGGGACCCACCCATCCACCATACCTTTTCTCGAGAATAGTACTGAAGAATTATACATTTGAAAATTGCACAGGTGATCGGCTATGCTAAACGTATAATACCACACTAACCAACTCATTTGGTTTATATTAAACTATATTATATACAAAAACTATTACACATTTTTGAATTGCCAAATCACAATATGCGACCTCCCCCTCCCCACTAAACACACACACCTTCAATAGAGACTATATGTCAATGGTGATGCTTTTCTTGACTATGCTGTAAATTAATTAAACAAGCATAGGTGTTTGAAATGTAGAGAGACATTTCAGTGATCCATTAAATAATGTTCATCACTATTTTGAATAGCCAAATGGAATCTGTTTCGGCGGTAAATCGAGAGTATTCTTTGGCGTTGACGTTTAATGTATAACAAACTGTACCTTACCCTCAACAATATGCTCTGACCCTAAGCCGTCCTATAACGCAATTTTATGTGACTATTGGGAAATACTTTTTGTACCGCTGTTCCTCTTTAAGCTATTGTTTCCATTCTCTGACGCAGTGGTTCTTACTGAAGGTTTTATTAAACACGGTTGGGTGGTTTCGACAAATAAGCCCGACCAGGTGTCTGGTTCATCGCAGCAGGGTAGCACCTTGCCCCCAACCCTCGAGCATATATTGTCTAAAGAATGCTTGCCCCGGGCTTGCGGGGGGGACCTGAAGGAGATATACAAAGGAAAGGGGAGAGGCTTTGGACAATATACGCTAATGTCGTCAGTTTGCCCCATGCCATTCCTGACGGGGCAGATTTCTTTCAGAGTGCATATTAAGTCTGGTTCTCATTGTGCAGAGGATATCATGCGTACAACGTGAACTTTTAAACTCGCCATCGATTCTACTGGAATGTTCGCCAAAAACAGCAGGCGTAATCCCCGCTAGCCCCCCAAATCTGTTACCTTACTCGTTATACATGATTAGACATGTCTGATTTTTGCACGTGGGGTAAGCTAGGAGGGTTTTGTACAATGTATAATGTATGGATACGTGAAGGATACAACTTAATTTTGGAAGAGTGTCCGATTTTTCGACTCGAAAAGTATTTTTGTTCAACCTTCTGGTTTGTGAGAGTTGCTGTTTCTTTGCTTTTGATCAGACTGCCTTCAATTACACTTGATCAATACTCTCTCAGTTACACTTGATCCACACTCTCTAAGTTACCCTTGATCCATACCCACTCAGTTACACTTGATCCATACTCACTCAGTTACACTTGATCCATACTCTCTCAGTTACACATGCTCAATACTCTCTCAGTTACACTTGATCCATACCCACTCAGTAACACTTGATCCATACTCTCTCAGTTACACTTGATCCATACCCACTCAGTTACACTTGATCCATACTCTCTCAGTTACACTTGATCCATACTCTCTCAGTTACACTTGATCCACACCAACTCAGTTACACTTGATCCATACTCTCTCAGTAACACTTCATCCATACTCTCTCAGTTACACATGCTCCATACTCTCTCAGTTACACTTGATCCATACCCACTCAGTTACACTTGATCCATACCCATTCAGTTACACTTGATCCACACCCACTCAGTTACACTTGATCCATACTCTCTCAGTTACACTTGCTCCATACTCTCTCAGTTTCACTTTATCCATACTCACTCAGTTACACTTGCTCCATACTCTCTCAGTTACACTTGCTCCATACTCTCTCAGTTTCACTTGATCCACACCCACTCAGTTACACTTGATCCATACCCATTCAGTTACACTTGATCCACACCCACTCAGTTACACTTGATCCATACTCTCTCAGTTACACTTGATCCATACTCTCTCAGTTACATTTGATCCACACCCACACAGTTACACTTGATCCATACTCTCTCAGTTACACTTGATCCATACTCTCTCAGTTTCACTTGATCCATACTCACTCAGTTACACTTGATCCATACTCTCTCAATTACATTTGATCCACACCCACACAGTTACACTTGATCCATACTCTCTCAGTTACACTTGATCCATACTCTCTCAGTTTCACTTGATCCATACTCACTCAGTTACACTTGATCCATACTCACTCAGTTACACTTGATCCATGCCCACTCAGTTACACTTGATCCATGCCCACCCAGTTTCACTTGATCCATACCCACACAGTTACACTTGATCCATACTCTCTCAGTTACACTTGATCCATACTCTCTCAGTTACACTTGATCCATACCCACACAGTTACACTTGATCCATACTCTCTCAGTTACACTTGATCCATACCCACTCAGTTACACTTGATCCATACCCACTCAGTTACACTTGCTCCATACTCTCTCAGTTTCACTTGATCCATACTCACTCAGTTACACTTGATCCATACTATCTGAGTTACACTTGATCCATACTCATTCAGTTACACTTGCTCCATACTCTCTCAGTTTCACTTGATCCATACTCTCTCAGTTTCACTTGATCCATACTCATTCAGGTACACTTGATCCATACTCTCTGAGTTACACTTGATCCATACTCTCTCAGTTACACTTGATCCATGCCCACTCAGTTACACTTGATCCATACCTAACCAGTTTCACGTGATCCATACCCTCTCATTTACACTTGATCCATACTCTCTCAGTTACACTTGATCCATACTCCCTCAGTTACACTTGATCCATACTACCTCAGTTACACTTGATCCTTAATCTTTCAGTTACACTTGATCCATACTCTCTCAGTTACACTTGATCCATACTCACTCAGTTACATTTGATCCACACCCACTCAGTTACACTTGATCCACACTCTCTCAGTTACACTTGATCCATACTCCCTCAGTTACACTCGATCCATACTCCCTCAGTTACACTTGATCCATACTCTCTCAGTTACCCTTGATCCAAATCTCACTCAGTTACATTTGAACCATACCCACTCAGTTTCACTTGATCCATACTCTCTCAGTTACACTTGATCCATACCCACTCAGTTACACTTGATCCATACCCATTCAGTTACACTTGACCAACACCCACTCAGTTACACTTGGTCCATACTCTCTCAGTTACACTTGATCCATACCCACTCAGTTACACTTGATCCATACTCACTCAGTTACACTTGATCCATACTCTCTCAGTTACACATGCTCAATACTCTCTCAGTTACACTTGATCCATACCCACTCAGTAACACTTGATCCATACTCTCTCAGTTACACTTGATCCATACCCACACAGTTACACTTGATCCATACTCTCTCAGTTACACTTGATCCATACTCTCTCAGTTACACTTGATCCACACCAACTCAGTTACACTTGATCCATACTCTCTCAGTAACACTTCATCCATACTCTCTCAGTTACACATGCTCCATACTCTCTCAGTTACACTTGATCCATACCCACTCAGTTACACTTGATCCATACCCATTCAGTTACACTTGATCCACACCCACTCAGTTACACTTGATCCATACTCTCTCAGTTACACTTGCTCCATACTCTCTCAGTTTCACTTTATCCATACTCACTCAGTTACACTTGCTCCATACTCTCTCAGTTACACTTGCTCCATACTCTCTCAGTTTCACTTGATCCACACCCACTCAGTTACACTTGATCCATACCCATTCAGTTACACTTGATCCACACCCACTCAGTTACACTTGATCCATACTCTCTCAGTTACACTTGATCCATACTCTCTCAGTTACATTTGATCCACACCCACACAGTTACACTTGATCCATACTCTCTCAGTTACACTTGATCCATACTCTCTCAGTTTCACTTGATCCATACTCACTCAGTTACACTTGATCCATACTCTCTCAATTACATTTGATCCACACCCACACAGTTACACTTGATCCATACTCTCTCAGTTACACTTGATCCATACTCTCTCAGTTTCACTTGATCCATACTCACTCAGTTACACTTGATCCATACTCACTCAGTTACACTTGATCCATGCCCACTCAGTTACACTTGA